AAAAAAAAAAAAAAAAAAAAAAGAAAAAAAAATCTAGCAAAACAAGATAATTTTGCAATTAAAAAATTAGAATCGATAAACGAAAATCATTCGATCATTCGGTGATGATTTTGATCGATGGTTTTTTTTTTGTCGAACAAAATACAATGATTGATTTGTTTAAAATATGTCTACATATATACAGGGATGAATCGATAAATTTATTTTACGTCATTTTAAATATCATTTTAAAATGCACTAAAATTAGTAAAATAAACTTGAAATTGCAAATAATTTGGCATACAAATTGTTATCGATATTGAAATTGTACTACGACTAAGCAAGTAATRAAAGACTTTTATTTTATTTTATTTGATATTTTTTGTGTTTCGATTATATAAAACGACGTTTAAAATTTCGACTCACCCTGTATACGTAGGACACATATCTAACATCGTTTTTTTCTTCTTCACGTTATCTCAAACAATTGATTTTTCTATAATAGTTTAATGATTTTCAAGTTTTTCTAATCGTAACATTTGAAAAAATTCTTCAACAACAACAAAAAAAAAAACATTGACAAACGTTCCGCAAATATTTTTCGATCCTTCTGCCTTTCTTTCCCCGCCTGCCCCGCCCCCCCCCTCACCAAATCAATCAACCCCTCCTTTAATCTTGTCGTTTTTATTCTTGGTCGAAAAAATTAATTGAAAAAAAAAATCGAAGATCGAATCGGACGAATCAAAAAATCCAAAAAAATCAAAAAAGATGAGTAATAAAAAAAAGGTCGTTTTTTTTGGGGATTGAATTTATGATTCTCAAGAATGATCTTCGAATTTTGACAGCCAACGTCAAGTCCATACTGATCCAGTATCATAAGAGGATCAACGTTCTCGAGGGGGAGAAGTACGACCTTGAATACGAAGTTGCCAAGAAGGATTTTGAGGTCGACACTTTTTCTAAATAGAGAGAGAAAGACAGACGGCGCTGCAAATTAGAAAAAAAACAAAAAGCAAAAAACAAAAAACAAAAATAACATTAAACATTTATTTTTTCATCATTAATCTCACGTAATTGAAAATTATTGTCTGCGCTCACATACAAGCGCATATTGGGATCTCTGACAGAAGCGTGACGCGTAACAATTTGACCTATCTACTTTAATTTTGAATTTAGCCACCAGATAGCGCATTCAACTGCTAGAGATCCCAAAATATTTATTATTATTTTTTATTCTCGTTGATGATTAGTTTGCAGCGCATCGTCGTAAGACAAACAAAAAAAAAAAAAAGAAAAATAAAGCCAGTAATTGATTAAAATTTTTTTTTTAAATTAATTTCTTAATTTTGGTCTCGCGCAAAAGATTTTTGTTAACTGGTACGGCCTATGATTTGATTGATAACGATGTATTTATTTACAATTGATTCTGTATACGCGTGTAAGTGCGTAACATTAGATTCTCGCAGCCTGTTCGAGAGCAATAATATTAATAATAATAATAATAATAATAATATTAATAATATTAATAGTAATGAAAGTAAGTTTTAATCGGTTGAGTAGAAAGCCGGTAATGTCTAACACTGTAAAAGCTGTAAGAGCAATTTTTCTAATACGAACGTGTAATTATTGATAGTCAAAAAAAAAAAAAAAACAAAGTAATTTTGGTAGTCAGGTTATTCGCATCGTAGAACGTTCAGTTGGTTTTTATTTTTTTTTTTTTACAAATTTAACCCTTTAAACGTTGATATGTGAGTGAGATTTTGGCTGGAAACAAATGCAATTAAAAAAAAAAAAAAAGACACACACACACACGTATTATCGCGTAGACTAAAAATTAGAATTTAGCGTTTGCAGTGATATTAGTAGAAAGTAAAAAATTGTATTGGCTAAAACTATACTCATAGATTCGTTTAAGGGTTAATGTTAAATGCTAATCACATGAACACCACCCAACAAACAAACAAACAAAAAATATGTAAAAGAAAGTATTGTTAGTATTTGAAGAGTATTGGTTTTTTTTTTGCCTTCGTGATTTTGCTCAGGAAACAACAGAAAAAAAAATAAGCCTCTCTCAACCCTTAACTATTTTATTTTTGTCCCTATCTCAATCCGATCGTTTAATACATTTATTTCTAGCATCGCTTTTATATGCAGCAAATATATTCGCACGTTCATCACTTTTTTTATTTTTTTTTGTATTTTAACAAACCTTCTTTTAAATATATCAACATTTATACATCTCAAAAAAGCAAAATCACGTGAAATGAAATTAATTTCATTAAAATAAGTTGAGTAGTTTCGGAATTATTAGTGGACAAACATATTGTAACACTGAATTTGATTAATTAATTAATTATTTTTGTTTCATCGGTTTCACGGTTTCTTCCGTTTCACGTTCTTCCGTTTCACGATTATCAAATGACCCTGATTCTAAAGAAGAAGTTTTCCTTATTAATTTGTTTTTTTTTTATGAGGGGGGGGTGGTTTATATCCAAGGTATCTACAATTGAAAACGAAACGTTCAAGTATCTCTAATCCTATTGGTTTTTTAAACGAACCATCACTCATTTTTTTCTTTTGTATTTTTTTTTTTCTTTTTGTTTTCTTCTCCATTCCTCACAAACGTTTCCCGTTTTTTCTGGTAAATTTTTATTCTTTTAGCCGAGCTCCAGACGATCTGTGCTGACTATTGGCAAAAAGTATACGCGCTCGAGGGCGATAAGTACGACCTCGAGAGACAAATTAGAATGAAACAATTCGAGGTAAATAATAAATGATCGGGTGCTGACGTCTAAACAACCCAGACGAAACGATACAATAATATTCTCCCACAGAGACAATTTTTTTGAATTTAATCATCCTTCGCACGATCATCCAAATTGTCTCGCATCTTTGTATTCTCTCTCTCTATCTCTTTCTCTCTCTCACTTTCTCTTTCTCTGTCTCGACATCGAATCGATTATAATCGATCGATCGATCGATCGATCGATCGATCAATCTCATTTCTTTCCTTCGTTCATTCTTTCCAAACCTTTCCTCTCCCCCGTTTCATTTTTTATTTCGCGAAAAATGTTCAATATCAAAAGCAAATGAGTTACATAGTCTACTACTTACATGTTCATTTTGCACATATTATATTTCGTGTATTTGATTATTTTTCATTTGTTTACCTATTTTATTTTTTTTTTTCTAATGTAATTAACATTGTAACGAAGAGATTTCAGAAGCGGTCGTGTGTTATCTGTTACTTGTTTTGTGGTAACACCTTCTCGTGAATTTCTTCAACAAAAACATAATCCGAGATTTCATCATATTTTGCGAGAAATATTACACTCGTGGAAAAAGAGAAGAGGAATAAACCAACAAAATATTGAAAGGGAAAGACAAACAATATATATATACATATATATATATAATACTAGGGGTGCCCCACGACGCGTTGCTGTGGCTCACAATCAGTCCGATATACACGTTTTTAAGTCAATTGCGATTATAAATTGAGATATAAACTATTCTATCTTTCAAGTTGGATGAAACTGCACACAGTTTGCAAAATTTGATTAAAATTGGTTCACTAGTTTAGGAGTCCATTGCGGACAAACAACGTGACACGTAATTTATACATATATATGTATATATATATTTGTAAAACTTCTTCTTCACCCTTTCTTTCTATCTCTCTGTCATTCTCTCTTTCTCTTTCTTTCTCTCTCTCTCTCTTTCTCTTTCACACATACAACGTTCATATCCATCCTATCAAA